AACAAAACCTTGAGCAATATTCAATTTAGAAATGGATACCGACAACATTTCTCCGATGTTTGACATGCAGACATTCTCAAAGGTACCTACATGTGCAAATAGTTGTTTGGAACAAATCTAATTTACTATTTACAAGATACTCTGTTTTCAAAATACGTGTTTTTTCTGCAAAATACAAAAGTTATTGAGAACAAACTTATTACATATCCAAAATTTATTTTCGCTGATGTCTATTTGACATTAAGAAGACACCACACCCTCATGTGTTGTCTGTGTCTTACAATAATGTTCTTACCATCAAGTTTCATAATAGGTCGATTCACTCTAAGTTTTAAGTTTATGGAGCTTAAGAGGAGGCTATCCCCGCATGTGTTGTCTCCATCTTACAAGATGATCTTTACATATCAAATTTTATGTTCAGTAGATCAAGTTTAGTTCTGTTAGCTTAAAAATTAGAGTGAATTCACCTCTTATTAAATTTAAAGGTAAGTTTATTATAGACTGCTTCTCGTGGGCTCTTTATTATATTTTAATTTTCAAGAGAGTTATGGGTATTTTAAGTTGTACAAACAATTTACAATTTTAATTTTAATAGTCCAGTGTTTGTATGCAATCAAAATGTTATTAGTAATTACTTTATTATTATTAACTAAACTTTAGTTACAATATTATCCTATTAACTTATTAACAGGCTTTGAACCCAATAGAATAATTAAATGTACAGTAGTAAATAAATATGAACAATATAACATGATCATTTAAGTAAACAAATAGAATTTATCAAATAAACAAATGGTAATTATAATATAATAATAATAAAAAAAAAACTATAATAATGGTAAAAAACAAATTGCAGCCATTAGTAAAAGTAAAATAAAATAATAATTTTTTTAATATTAAACTTAAAATTAGATTGATGGTTTTTGACTGTATCACTGTGTTTAGAACTGAAAGTATATAAATTAAAAAAAATTCAATTACGTTTTAAACAAATATATTTTTGTTTTTCTTTAAATTTAAAATAGCTTTCATTTAGCCAATTTTGTATTTATATAAATATAATTGCTACCTACATAAACTTGACTTGAAAAATATTGACCAATAGGAGTATGATATGAAAAATAGAGGTTCGATCTGGAGTTCTTATTAAAAAAATTGAGTTGTCTTGTGTATTTATGAAATAATTATGTTGAAAAATCTGAGAGTACATATTCTCTAGATTCTTATTCTTCAAACTGATTTATAAAATATGACAGTGTTCTTTATTCCTGTGGACACATGTTATAGAATATAGATTTATGTTATAATAATAATTTTTTTTTTTTTTTATTTTTGTTTTAGGAATCATTTTCTGTAGATGAATTTTTAACAGAAAATCGTAATAAAATGACACTAGAAAACATGAGAGTTGAAATGGGCATTTTTCTCAAAGACCTACGCAATAAAATGATAAATTCACTCAATGATGATTGTGATAAATATTTTCATTTATCTAGAGGATTAATTGGTATTGACCAGCAATTAGCAACCTTAAAACCAGGATTGAGTTTGTTGAGTAACTCTGTTAATGTATGACATTACATACTCCATGGTGTATGGAGTTATTTCTAGAAGTATAACAATGTTAACAATTTTATTTAGGAAGCTAAAAATAATTTGGAGAATACACTATGTTACCTGGATAATGAAATACAATTAAATAAAAAAATGTGTGAAGATAAACAGGCATTTCACGCTATTTTACAAGTGCAAACATCTTTAGAAAAATTAGATGAATTATTATTGGATCAAAATGATTGTAATATAATCATTTTAACTAGAGCTGTGGCTGAATATAATCAGCTTTCATCAAGGATGACAAAATGCAGTGATCTATTGAAAACTGTGCATTTGACGGTACATACATATAAGATTAATATTTTCTGATTAATTAAATTTTTTATTTTATCTTAAAACTTACCTAATCTCCAAATACAATTATGATTCAGTTTTAATAAGGTTGCGCATTTTTTTTTATTTAGAAACAAACAACGCTGAATGGTTTATTAATGAGCAAATTAAATGAAGCATTTGTGTCTTCAGTGTCAACAAATGCAAACGCAGTGAAGCGTTTTCTTGAACTATATTTATCTTTAGATAGAATAACATATGCTGAAGATGTGTGTAGGACTGAAGTTGTGACGCCAGCAATGAGGTCTATACTGAATGAAAATTATTTACGGAGTTGTAAAGATGGTTTAAGAGAATTATACAGCCAGTGCTATGCATTCCTTCAAGTAGATTTGAAACATTTGCTTCAAGCTGCAGAAGAACAAAACAATGTGTACGCTTTATATTTAATATATTATTAATTTCAATAATGATAATGCACGTTTAATATATATTATTTATGTATAGAAGTAACGAGTCTTGCAAGTTCAATTTTGTTTCAAAAAGCTTCTGGCCTGTTATCTTTGATCAAGTAAAAAATAATTTGCAATGCATCTATAACTTCAGAGAACCTGATATTTTCATAAAAGTATGATTTCTTAAAATATCTTATAAATTACTAATAAATATAAATATAACTCATATCCCAATGTCTAACTATATTTCTAATATTTTAGAATTATAAAGTAACATTTAATGAATTTATGAAACATTTGATTGAATTATCTGTTTCACAACATGAAAGTGAACCATTAAACAAAGTACAAAGTTGGAATGATTTTAAAAAATGCTGGAATTTGCCAATTTACTATCAATACCGGTAAGACAAAATATATTGAAATATATAATGACTTATCTTTCCGACTATCAGAGTTTTTCTCTGGGGGGAGGGGGAGTATGTTAAACTCCTTATACCTTTTTTGTTGTACAATATAGTATAGTATTACATTTTTGTCTTTTAGTTTTGTGTCTTATTTTCTATAAAAGTACCCACATTTAAATGTATTTTGAATATAATTACCAAGTATAATATACTATTGTACTGAAGATATAAAAAAAAATGGTAAAGCTAAATTTTTTTAAACTCAAATTTTATTTATTTTATATTCAATTAACTTTTTGTAAAATTATAACTTTGAACTCTAGATCTAAAAAGTTAATGTATAAGAATAAATAAAAAATAAATTTAAAAAAAACATGCTTAAATATACTCTCAAAATTATTTTTTATTTTTTTATTTTTAAGCTTCGGAAACTGAGGCCATTAGCTGTAGGTTGTGGTACTATAGGGTTACAGAACACGTGTGTGTTTGTTTTGGCAGAATTTCTAGTGGGCTACCGTAGGTTTCTACCATGCCCGGTTGGGGGATGGCGGCCAACTTCTCTAGACACCATGGCTGCCCGGAAAAAAGTGCCGCCCGTGACCGAGGTTCAAATCGGTTACGGTACGAGCTGCAACCGACACATTATCCACTCAGCCACTTCGTCTTCCCAAAATTATTTTATTTTATCATTAAAACCAACGAATTTAAAAATTACAATTAATATGTATCTGTTTTCTTTCTTAATCCCTCTACTTTTTTAAGCTTGCCTTTAAACAAAATAAAAAATTAATTATAAATGCATAATGTGTTAATGAATCAATAATTATTAAGCTCAAATGAACAATAAATTATGTGACTAAAATGTATTGAATATAAATGAACAATGATTGTTCACCAATACATTTTATGATGAATCATCAAATAATATTTAATGATTTAAATTAATTTTGTTTCAATTTCTAGAAAAGTTGTATTTAATATGTGAAAAAATCACTTAAATATTATAAATATAACAAAATATCCACTTTTATGGAATAAATAATATGTAAAATATTGCCTTAAACTCTTAGTATTATGAAACAAATGTATTTATTACTTAGCTATGTTTTGAACGATAATTGAAAAACATGCCAACTCTTATACTTCCTTCCCTAGTCCTAAAATAATTTACTATCTTATAAGTGTAAAACTGTAAGAAATAATGTTTAGATTTATTAGATATAATTGTCATATTATGGCCCAATTTAAACAATCAACCAAATAGGTATTTGCTTTTCATCAAAAAAGTAATAGTATTTATAATAATATTAATAAAGATCATAATTCATTGTATCATTGTAAAACTGATTTAAAAAACCATCATACAATTATATTATCATTTTTAAGGAAGTTATGATCATTTTAAAAATTTTAAAAAATGTACACTTTAAAAATGGACATAATTAACTTAAAAATAATAATATCAATAAAATCCTCCAAATTTCCTTAGATAATATTCTTGCCTTTAAATATTATAAGAGGTAAATTCACTCAAATTTTAGAAATTACAAAGTAAAATGTATTATTGTGAATGTAAAAGTTGCCACATTGTACGTTTGTAAGACGAAAACAACAAATGCCCACTTGGCGTGTTCTCTTAATAATAATATAAATTGTATACTTAAACAGACATTTTCCAGCTTTTGCTTTGAATTTAAAAATATTTTTGCATATTATCAACATTAATTGATGTAACAAATTACAATTGGGGATGAGGTGACCGAGTGGTCTGACGCGTCCGCTGCGACGCAGCCGGTCGCGGTTCGATCCTAGGCTACCAGGCGGCATTTTTCTCCGGACAAGTCACGGTGACCGGAGAACAAGTGCTGCCATCACCCACCCCCGGGGCATGGCAGAAACCTACGGGTGCCCCATTCGAAATTCTGCCAAAAACAAACACACACGTGTTCCCCCCTACCGTCCCAAAATATACAATACACAACAAACCTACAATACAAATCCTACTACAGCTAATGGCCTCAGTTGCCGAAGCTTAAGATCAATAAAAAAAAAAAAAAAAAAAAATTACAATTGGGTATCATTAATTAATGTTTTCTCTTGGTCTAATAATTTGAGTTTCCTGTTAAATATTTCCAAGTGCCAAACTAAAATTCACGTGGTGCCTTAACCCTGTCAACTTCAGTTATACTTTTCAAGGTTCAGATCTACCCCATGCCAACCTTGACATTCGTGATCATGTATTTGCTAAAATATGTCCATCACTAGACTTAATATCGCCATCAATAATGTTTATTGTAAAGTTTTAAAAAAATTTCCCTAAAAGAAAAAAAGGAAACATTCTTTTAAAGTATTATTTCTGAATACAAGTTATATGCTTCTTTTAAAATCCTTTATTCATTATTGTGAACTTTCTCAACCAATTATTGAATATGGCTCAGTCATCTAGGATCCCCATACTTGAGAGGCATGCAGATAATTAGAAAGAATTTAAGCACCAGTTTCTTAATCAGTTTATTCACTCAAAATTGATAATCCGCTGAATGACTATGACTCCGTCCATAAACTCAATTTAGACGACCCCAGACTTTTGGTTAATATTGCCTTCTTACAAAAACTTCTTTTCATCAAAATGTATTGCTCGTTTATTCTTTCCTAACTTAATATTCATATTCCATCTTAAAAACCCCATTCGACTAATACATGTTAAAGTTCTTTCCTTTCTTATATGAAAATAAATAAATAGATGGATACATAACTAAAAAATAGTGAGTTCAAATATTTAGTATGTTTTTCATAAATTATTGTTAATTTTATAAATTATAGTAGTAATACATTTGATAAATAATACTTTTTATTTTAATTATTGAATTCAAGGTTTCAAGAGATTGGATTTTGTGCTGAAAACATTATGAACCACAATAGTTATGAGTCATGTAGTGATGATATGTTTAAACTTAAAGTCACAAAAGCAGTATGGGATTCTATGTGTTCTTGTTTAGATCCAAATATCTTCATACACCAATTGAGCCACAGGTTACACAATTATTCAATTATTAATACTTTTAAAAATAAGCGTCCACACTACACAATGTTTGTTATAAAAATTTTAATTTGGTTTATTTCAGATTTTTCAAATTAATATTACAGTTGATATCTAGATATCAGACTTGGGCAGAAGATGCTAATATCAAATCAAAGACTGATTTAAAAGATTTTAGCACTCGTATTAAATTTCTTGAGGATTTGGAAAGTGATTTAAATGTATTTTATTTAAAATTAAATGATATATATTCCATGTTTGAAGAATTGTTACGTACAACGGTACCTGTTGATATCATAGAATCACAAAAAAGTAAGTGTACCAAACATTTGAAACATGATTTGTATTCTTATATCCTCCCATATTTGTACAGGTAGTATTGTAAATGACAATTTGAATACGTTGATTACTGATTTAAGTAAGTGTAAAGTGCAATCTGTAACGGATGAAGCAATGTCTCATGTAATAAGAGTAACTGATGTACCAAGGTTGTTCAGACATACAAATCGAGATTATCCAACTGAACCATGTGCTTACATGAAATCAATAGTGATAACATTAGAAACATTACAGAATAAAAATTGTAAAAAACAAGTATTAGATCATATAGTAACACAGTAAGTAATTAAACCAATAAAAACAAAATATAGAGAAATTTAAATGCCTCTGTTTATACTATAAACTTTTATTTTAGATATGTAGCTTATGTTGATGATGTTATGAAAGCAATAAAAAAAACAGAAGAAAGCTTAAGAAAATTAAAAAAGATTAGAGATCCAAACTATAAAGTTAATTCGGATGATGATAAAATTCGTTCCCAGCTAACACTGGATATAAATTACTTGTTACAGTCTGTAAGTAAATAGTTTTTTAAATTTGCATTTTTTATAATATACTACTTTAGGGCAGTATATATAATTTTTTTTTTGGTAAAGTTTTAAGTGTTTTAGTTTTTAAATTGTGTATAGGATATCAAGGATGAGTTTATTTCAGTTTTTTTTTTTTAGAATTAAGAGTTCATCTTAAATTTCATGGACCTTATCTATTGAATGGGCATTTTATTTCCTTGATAATTTATAACAGTGATTTTTTAATTAATCTCTTTGAGTGTAAAGTCAAATGGAAAATTTCAAAATAAAAAAAATCTGTAGGTTAAATTTTTTACGGGTATTGGCGGCTTTAAGGAATTTTGTTAGTTGCGTGGTAAACAGAGTTAGGTGTCATTCTGAATATTTTTGGGTAGTTCTGTAGTTGGATACATTATTGTAAGCAATCACGTAAAAAGAAATTATATTTGTAGCTACATCATAATTATATCTATTATTTATTAAGGAGAGATTAAGAGCAGGTATGTACTAAAATATATCCTATACATCATAGTTTATTAATGTTCACCACACCACTAGTTGCTACTAGTAGTCTTATTGTTAAAAAAAAATAAGTTCCTAGCAATAAATATTTAGTTTTACTTTTTATTGATCTTAAGCCCGGTAACTTAGGCCTAACTTAACATGGGCTGTTTGTGTAGGGGAAAGGTTAATTTGAACACAAGTTATGTATGTGTAGCAAGGATTTATTGCTAAAAATCCAAGATGGTCACCCATGTAGCCCAGCTACCAACACCTGTCGGTTCGTACACAGAGCACTTACGCAGCTGAGTGTAGACACTGCTCCACAAATTTAGCTTATTTCTTCATTATAATATATATTATCTTATTTAGCTTTATAACTGTTAATCTATATTTATAAATGAAAGGTAATGACAAAAATATTGTTATTAGCACATATGATATTATGAATTTTTCTATAACACATATTAAATTGTACCAAAATATTTTCTCTGTATGATTTAATGTAGTAAACAATCACAATTTATCTTACAGAAATTTATTTTTTCCAAAATTTAAATAATGGAAACATAAGTATTTGGGCAAAGAAATTAATAACTACTGCATCCACTTTTAACAAGTTTTATATTTAAAATATAAAGATCACAAATATAAACATGGTGTTTTCTTTATCAAAATTAATAATATTAAGGAATCAACAAAATCACATTTATAGTCTAAACCTTAGAATTATTCAAAAGTAATATTTATTAAAATATTATATAAAGACTGGAAAATCATACTTGATAATAATATATTTTGAATTTGTTTACAAATAAATATACATACGTTTTTGAAGTGTAACCAAAGTAAGAAGCTATTAGTGAATGCCACATAACTTATAAAATGATATATTATATTTAAAACTAAAATATTTTATTTTATGTAGCTAAACATAATTTATTATACATATTTTATTTCAGATTGGTGATATGAGTTTACCAGAAGTAAATGAAATTGAATTGAAGTTGGACATTGCAAAACAAACAATTCTTGTTGATAAAGTCTCATAGATATTAGAAACATAAAAAAAAAATTATACAGTTGAAAATATTTATTTATATTTAATGTTAATAAAAAAAATGACATAAACTATGATTTCTATCAACTCATTCGACATTCACTAAAATCATCAGACAATGGATCAATTCCATATTGATCACGTATAGTGGCCAAATCAATACTGCCGGGTCCCTCTGTCGCAGTTCTCCTCATATTACGCAATATTACTTCAAATGGATCAGCCGTCATACGTCTTTGGTTTAACGTAGCTGTTGTATTATAATGTTCTATTATACATGGATTATCCACATCCTATAACATTGCATTAAATGTTTTCATTTAATTTTAAACATAACTTTTAAATTGTTTTAATGGTTTTACATCTGGCAATGGACTCCATAGTTTGACTTCATTATCAATACCACTGGTTGCCAACAAAAACTCTGAAGGATGTGGTTGTACACAATTTACGATTGAACTATCCCCTTTCAGTATATGCAAATTATTCTCTGTATTTTTTTCCCATATAAAAAATAAACCATCATCTGAACCAGCTACTATGAATTGATTTTGACTATAAATAATGTTAGGATTAACTATTTGAAAATTCATTATAATAAACTATCAATAACAACCTCACCTTCCAAAAAAGTTAGCTTCTTTGATATCAGTAGATGTATTACAATGACCATAATATCTACGATGGTAATCCATCGCCTGATTACGAAAGTATTTCTCAAAAGTTATCTTTTGGGCCCGTTCAACATGTAATGCATCTAGAACATTTGTTGTAGAATCCGACGTTTCAAGTGATTTTTTTCCTAAATAGAGAACACACACAATTAATTAAAAACAATTAATTGTTTTTATAGAATACTAAATAGATGAATACAAAAATACTGTTATAATAGTTACCATCAAGTTTATCTTTACTATTAGATTGTGCATTTAACAAATCACTATAAAGACATTTGTATGCGGCACTAGTTTTATACGATGGGTACTTCTTTGTGAACTGATCTAAATACATTTTAGAATCTTTTAACTTATCCAGTTCAAATAGGCATACTGCCAACCGGAAATGTGCTTTCATATGGTTAGGCTCCAGTTCTAATGCAGTGACACAATCTTTGAGAGCTGCATAGAAGTCTCCATGCCACTTTCTTTTAATAAAGGCTGCAGCTCTATTCGAAAACAGTACACTGGATTTATGAATACTTATAGCTTCATTATAAAGATTAATAGCAGCAGTATAATCTTCTTTTTCAAATAAATAATTTGCCTGTAAATTATAACAACACTTATAGATTTACTGTTGTATAATGCATAAATAAATAAATGACACTCAATTTAAAATGAATATTTCTAACCTTTAATTTTAATTGCACTACTTTATCTGGTAGTGTCAAATGAGGAACAGGAGCTGGATCATCTATTAAATCTGTAGAAGAACCTTCCCCGTTTTCTCCTTAAATTACACAAATGTTACAATAACATATACATTTTATAATTGTATCAAGAAACTTACGAGGAACTTTCATAGCTTTAGGGATATTGAAAAATGCATTATCAGCTCGATTCACTAGGTTATACAAGTATACATATTCACCACCATAATTAACCAATAACTCTTGTCCATCAGGGCTGAACGTCAAATAAGTAATTACATAACTTTTTTGTTTTTTGGGTATTGTTTCATTGTCATTTGAATGGATGTGACCCGGTACAAAATATTGAAGTGCATTGTTGACTTTACTTAATGCTGCATTATTGCCATCATACTCAAGGACATGGTCCGAAAGAGATTGCACACCAAATGATGACAATGATTGAATCATTCTGCGGTCATATAATCTCACATATTGATCATTAGCACCAACTGCAAGCTGCTCAGTTCTAAGTTGGTTTATGTCTAAGCATTTAGCTTCAATCTTTTTTCCCGAATTACCATATATGGTCACCAAAGTAGTTTTAGATTTATCGTTAGGACATTCGTGGCTCATTCTCATATCATGTTGACTGTATGAACATAAACAAATAATAAAGTGTCACCATTATTATAACAATAGTATGATTACATTGAAGCTAAATTTAAAAAAAAAACCATTTTCAGACAAATTCACTAAACAAATCATACCTAATGCATCCATCCTCTGAGGCACACCAATAAACACTAGGCGCATCATTTGCTACAGCTAGACGTTTGATTCTTCCTTGAGAACAAATGCAACTGTTTAATTGTTTACCTGTTGTTACATTATAAGTATGTGAACTCCAATCACCAGCTCCAGTTGCAACTATATCATCATTACAACAAGGTATAAACTATATATGAAAAAAAGACAAAACAATATTTTATATTACAACACTGCATACAACATAACAAAATCATAATATTGATTATTTTTATATTTATTGACCGTTTTTAGTCGAATTGTTTTTACATTTTTATTAACCCAGCACATTTATATTATTTGCCGACAAAATGTAGTTGCACACAAACCAAAACAACACATAAACCGCTGTATACGCCCAAAAAACCATTCCTCGGCTTCAGTCATATGTTCAAATTGGTAAAAAGACGATTCGCCCCCGTCTATTATTATGATAGGACATTTAGCCCCCGGCAGTTATAAGGATTTATTTATATCTACCCATAGGAAGTTTGGCCTCTGGAATTTTAAATCACTAAATTTAAATCTTTTTTTTTTTAACTTAAAATTTAAATTCTTTTTAAAACGCAAACAACAATTATAATGATAATAATAATAATTAAGGTATAATTTTATTAAGTAAACATAAATTATAAATATGATATGATTACATATTCCTGTCACATTTGTACAAATATTATAATTTTTATTAAGTACATTAAAATAATTTACACAAAAATTCATATTAGATAAGATCAATTATTCTTTTCAAAAAATATAAAATATCATCATCATTATTACATTTAAAGTCCTTACAATGTTGTTTTATTTTATCTTCCTAATGATTTGTTTTTGGCATATTTATTAAAAAAATTTAAGTTACATACCTCTTTTAACAGTATTGGTTGGAAGAAATGCTAATGCAGGAATCATTTTTACGGCTGATCTGAAGTTTTTGTCTTCTTTATATTTTATAGCCAAACCTAAGTCCTGAACTTTTCGCCAGATGGACTGGTTTAAATGATAATAGCATAACTGCACCGATACTTCATCATAAAATACTTCCTTGATAGCCTGTATTACAGATTGTTCGAAATCAATAGAAATTATTGAAAGCGATACAAATTGATCCCGTATAGCAGACAATAACTCAATATAAGTGTCTTTATTTTTACGTTGAAGCAAAGCGTACATCACAGGAATTATTAAATTATTTATGCTTGCATGTAATATGTATACTTGGTAGAATTCAGAAGGACAAGCTTAAAATGTTCAGTCCATATAAATAATTCTAGTTTCAGATGAAATTTAGCGGCACGTTTTTGAAGAAAAGATAATAATACGATTATTATTATTTTTGTTGTCGTAAAATAAAAATGGCTCTGGATTGAGTTCTCTACCGGTTGTACTCCACTGTATTCCTTCCAATATAATATCGTCTATTTTTACAATATTAGGATAAATATTGCTACGGACACGCCGTAAAGTCCTTTTCATCGAATCTTCTTTCGGAATTAACTGTCTGCTTTCGTTGGATAATGGGATTACATTAAGTGCAAAAATTCGAAACGGTATATCATAGTTTTGTTTTGCTGTGTTCTTCATAATACATTTAGCTCTTTCTACATTTATTAAGTCAGTATTAACTTTATGATTGTGATCTCCAAACTTTAAGACAAAATGCATTCCATCATCAGTTGTAAGTGTTCCATTACATAACCCTTTGTGAACACACACCCACCGGATACAAATTTTCACATTTTTTTGTTTGTAATATAAATGATCGTTGTGCACTAATTTCTTCTTGTTTCTTTCCGTTGTTAACACCTCCATAGTTCACTGAAGCCAGACGCACAATTACACAGACTACAGACTAACTATTACTGCATAGTGTGCTTTGTGTAATATACTACCTAATCTATCCAGGGTAGGTATAAAGTATTATTTAGTCTTTACAATATAAAAAGAAATATTTATAACATTTTTCCACTGTCTGACAAATAAATAATAGTCGAGCAATATCATCTGTCGATAAGAAGAACTTTGATTAAGATAAATATCTATCGATGTCATAAAGGTAATAAATGTTTATAAAATTGTTAACTTGTTAGTTTACTATTATTATATTTTTGAGTTAATTAATTTAGAACATAATAAGTAGATTGTTAATGTTAAAATTAATTGTTCGTAAATGTTACTGTGACACAACATGTGGGTAGAAAAAAACATTTACGTGCATTAGATATTCACAAAAATAGAAAAAAGTGAAGTTGTTCAGACATTAATTAATACAGTTCCAAAAAATAATGCCTCTTTCCTAACCTAACCTAACCAGAGGCCAAACGTCCTATGGGTAGATATAAATAAATCTATATAACTGCCGGGGGCCAAATGTCCTATCTTAATAATAGACAGGGACGAAACGTCCGTGGACTTGTTTTTTTGACGGGGACGAATTGGCGGGGGCGAATCATCCGTGATTTGTTCAAATTAGCTACATTCTCTCAGTGAATTGGGTAAGTAAACTTTCTTAAAAAAAATATATACTGCAGTGTGTTAAATTACCTTGACAGAAAATATGTTTCCACGGTGTAAAGTTTTAATAGTAGTTTTAACTTTTTGTAAAAATGGATCCCATAGTATTACTTGATAGTCATCAGATGCCGATGCTAAGGTGCTGAAAAATTATATAATAACTTAGTAAACAATTTATTTATTAATAATTATACACTTTTATGAAATTAAAATTGTTGATAGTTGAATATACATATACCTTCCATTTTCATTCCATTGTAGGCAATTAACACATCCTTGATGTCCTTCTAATTGAGTGAGTAATCCAAGTTTTGAAATACATTTGTAGTTCAAGTTACTTTTTAATGCATACTTTGTGCGGATGTGATCCTAATCATCAATCATAGTTTTAAAATTAATCTGACTGAATAGAATAATAAAATATACTATGTTAGGATGTGTATATATATTACGTTCAATTCTCGATCCCTTATCAACTGTAAAATGTTCTGACGATTTTTTGCCGGAGACATTATAATTGATGTGTCTATTGACTTCCGCACTATCAATCAATTCTATTACTTATAACATTTTAACAAAAAGATATTTTATGAGTTGATTTAAAACATAGAATTTGAACTAATCAAAACTACATTAAAATTGAAAATTACTATCAAAATAAGTGAGCAATTAAAAAATTACTTTCAAAATGCCTTTAAAATACCTAATTTAAAACAATGAATTAATTAAAATATGAAAATAGTACTAATCATTAGTCTTTGAAGTGAACAATAGGTATAGTAAAATGTTAATTATATACTTATTAGTTTATAATCATTGATCCGCAAATTCTGTGATCAATAATCAGTAATCAAAAATTACTTAATCGCTGTATAAATATATATAATATTAAAATATTATGAAAGTGGTTATGACTTATGATATCACAGAACGCGGACTGTTGGTCGTCGGATTCTTTACTTAAGTAATTTAAAGTTTAAACTACTTTTCACAGACTGTAGATGGCTGTAGCCAGTGGTCAATGATCAACAGTCATCGCCGAGATTTAAGATAGTAAACGACTAATTTATCTTTAATATTGGATGTTTGGATTGACAATGATATTAAAGATAGACGATAGTAAATATATAATGTCACTACTTGGTAAGTTACCAATTGTACTCACTAGTCTAGAATGCAAGTTCATGATATTAAGTAAAAACTAACTTTATATGCCATTTCTGTAGGAATTATGGGTGCTGCTATCACAGAACATTCTACCCATAACGACAGCGCCAGCAGTATCGCCGCCTATGGATACATAATAATATAATATGCACAATGTACTGGTTACTCAAAGCCGTATAGAAAGTATTATAAATTGGTCTCCAGAGTGAATGCTCGCAGTTTATCCCCGAAAATCAGCTGTTCACCATAGGAAGAAGTGTAGCTAGCGCTCTCTGTGTACATAATTGTCGAAATGAAAAAATATATTTATATCATGAAAATAAACAATACTTAACTATATTAATTTCCGCTTGGTCGCTAGTTGCGCTTCTTGCGGGCCGTAATCGAGGATAAACGTTGGGCATCGAAAATTCGAAAATTCGAAAGTGGTGAACTCGGCGCAGTGCTCTGAGTAATCTGTGTGTCTCGAATACTGGGTTGTGAGACTCGAGACGACGATTAAAGACCGCCATACACGGCATTAGAACTTCCTGCTGTAGTGTAGACGGTATTTTAATCTGTGATATTACCTTTCTGTATAGTTGGAAAAACGGCATCAGCCATCCAACGTTCAAATTGGACAAAACCTGCAGCAGTGCAGCAATCAGTAATACATAGCCATCATCAGCCGTAGGTCATAGACCTTTAACAAATATTATAATATTACACGTTCGTCACTATTTCAGACTTGAGTTCAGAGTGTAGGTACTAGGTACCTACTGTACTACTATTATCGTGTATATTACGATTTATCCTTTTTTCCACCTTGTACACAATATAGAATATGGTATAATAAAATAATAAACTCGTAGTAAAAAGTTTATGCTGAAATACCATAACATTATGACGATGCTACTATAGAATTATTTATGTACGAAAAGTAAAGCTCTATACATAATTATCCATAATGACCTACACAGAGTAATTATTTTTACTAGTTTTTATTTTTCATGTTTTGTATATAAGATATTAATAATTTTTTATTATTATTATATTCTTTGTTCGTAATAATGTTACAGGGTTACATCACAATTCACAAGTGTTCAAAACAAACAATTTTTCTGTAGTATTACTGATCAATTCTAATACTTGATACCATAATCATAAAAAACTAAGTGACCTTAGTTGATACACATTACACAGATTATTTTATGAAAATAATCCTAATATAGTTTGTGACTTCGTGGCTTAAACTTTATTTTATATATTATAAGAATTTATAGACAATATTATGCGGTCTATACTTGATACGAATTTATTTTTATTGATTGTTATTTGTTCTTAGCAAAATGAAAATCGCGAAGGTCAACAAATCGCTGTATTGGGAAAACAGATAAACTCTGTAAGCGCTGTCGTAGTCGTACTGAAAACTGATGATCAGGCGCCTAGGCGATTTCCCCCAAGAAAACCATCGATTTTAAATAAAACAGAACCATTTTATTGGAAAATCAAATCAATACTTGTTTATCTTATTAATGCAGGTTATAATATTGCTTATTTTAATATTTCTGATATTAAATTATTTCGAATCATTACGTCTTAAGAAGTTCGTAATTTATTAACAAATGTATTCTTCAAATTCTAGGGATACCAGTGGGGATACTGTGAATCATCAAACTGTATGTTATTCCCCGACATTCCGTTGAAATTTTGCTTTTAGTGAAGACGTGAATGTATTAATTGATAATATCAGTAGCAATAATTGTACTTACCAGGGTTTACAGTTACCTATACCAGTGTACAAGGTTCAATAACAAAATTCATTTGTTTGAAAAAGTAAAATAACCGAAATAGAACTAAATTTAATCGGAAGATTTCCACCAGAGCTCGTTTTGTTAATCTGTTGTTTTCCCAAATAATATTGTTATTACGTCATTACTTATTAGTTATTAGTTACTTTTACATTTTAGTTCAAAGTTCAAACGCTTCAAACACTCATCGAACGTTATCTCAGAGAACAGTGATAACTAGTTTCACCTGCGAAGTACGATCCCACGTAAGCCCACGATTTACGAACATTGAGCTACATTTAAAGTACATTTTATAGCTACAACTCGTCAATGCGTTGCGTATTCTAAATAAATCTGTTAAATTCGCTACTTAAAATTGTTTAGTCCAATGATGAAAAACGATTATCAAATGTGTATTTCAGTTTTTTAATAATTGCATTAAACTATCTAGATTTAACAAAATAAAATTTAAAAAAATTTGGTAAACTGTCGTCTTAAAATGTTTAAAGATTCCTCAATCATTTCTATATAATTTTTTTTATAAATTAATTTTACTGCTCTCAAATTGATTGATTTAATACTAAAATGACATTTAATTTTTTTAATGTTCGTAAGCTGTGTACTAAGGCAGCATTGCTTAAAAATGTTCAATTGACCAAAGATAGATTTCCTAATTTAAAAAGAGGATCATATGGTACGGTAGAATCTGCAGATGTTGAATATTTCAAAAACCTGTTAGGTGCTAACAATTTTATTACTGGCGAAGAAGTAAAATCTTACAATGTAGATTGGTTAAAATTTGTTTCTGGTAAATATTTCAAATGACAATGTATGTCATTTTAATAATAAGTAATTTATATGCATAGGTTTCAGTAAGTATGTGCTTAAACCAAAAACAACTGAACAAGTATCAGCGATTCTCAAGTATTGTTATGAGCGCGATATAGCAGTATGTGTTCAAGGTGGCAATACTGGTCTTGTTGGAGGTAGTGTTCCAGTTTTTGATGAAGTAATTTTGTCCACTTCTGCAATGAATTCAATTATTAGCTTTAATAAATTATCAGGTAAATATATGTCTTATCAAAATGAACTTATTAAATAACATTGTTTAAGATTCTATTTAAACTTGTTACGTATGTACCTAATTGATGTGGGTAAAATTGTGCTTCCTAATATTTTTCTGGCAATTATATTACTATAAGCCAACATTTTCTGATAGGTATTTAAGTCATTAAATTACTGCTTCTGTATCTCATTATTTCTCACATATTTTATATTTTTCAAATCTGATTATCAAGTTAAGGAATATAATTAATTTTGAACCTGTCCATAGTTTCATCTACTAGGAGCATAGGCGTGTCCACGGGTCTTGCCCGTCATGCGTAGCCATGACTTGCAAAATTTGATCTAAATTTAAAATGTTTGAATTCAGGGGTCATGTCTCAATACCCTAACAGAACTTTTTATGGCTGGGGGGGGGTGTAGTTTTCCCCTCCCCTGGATATGCCCCTGTTGTGCATGAACTGTAAATGATTACTGGACACGTCTTGGACTAGGAGGTACCTTACTACCTACATATTAACATTAAGTTAGATTTTATAAATTGAGTTTATTTAGGTGTGTTAGTATGCCAGGCTGGATGTGTATTAGAAAATTTGATGAATTATGTTCAAAACGAAGGGTTTATAATGCCATTTGATTTGGGTGCAAAAGGCACTTGTCAGATTGGAGGTAATTTAGCTACTAATGCTGGAGGTTTGAGATTAATTAAATATGGAAGTCTACAAGGAAGCGTATTGGGATTACAAGCGGTAGTTTTGTTTATGGTTATTCAATTTAAATTATTATAAATTAGGTTTAATTGTTAAATTATGAATTTTAGGTGTTAGCTGATGGACAAATTTTAGATTGCCTTAATACATTGAAAAAAGACAACACTGGATATCATTTAAAACATTTGTTTATTGGTTCAGAAGGAACCTTGGGAGTTATTACAAAAATTGCTATTCAATGTCCAAATACCCCAAAATTTGTTAATGTATCATTTATTGGTGAGTAAAAAATTCTTTATTTGTCTAATTTTTAAGTTTATTGTGTTCAGACATGTTACTTAATATTTTCCTTTAAACTATAAACTATTATCCTATAAAAAAAAACACCAATTTTAATCAAAAAATGTGTAAAATTATATTTAACAATAACTAACTATCCTGGCTGTATACTGATAATATTTTTGAAGAGAAGATAGTATTTATGCAATTATTAATTCAAAAGTATATATTGGGAGGCATGTGTGAAATATCTTTAAAAACCGAAATATTTACTAACAGTATAATGTGAGCAAGTATGTACTCCTCTGTTTCACAGTTAGAATCGTATTCACCTTGTTAATGGTTAAATTTAAATTCAATAATAAATCATCGCACATGAAAAATATCCTGGTGAATCCAGTCTGTCAGCATATATTTAAATTACTATCATAAAAATGTATTTTACTTTTAGTAATACTGTAATTTGAATTCATTTGAGCAGAAAACATTACATTTATTTTGTTATTAATATTAACTATTCAGTTAAAACATTTTAATTAACATATTAACAATTTAAATTAATATAATATAAAAAAAACACATAAACACGTAAGTCAATCTGACTCGTAATAGATGAATGATTGTACATACACAACAAATACTAATAATTATTATTATCGATGTTCGACAATTGTCTGTAAGCTGAACTCGCCAAACAAAATATCAATGTTTTGCTAAAAAGTAGATAAACACAAATCAAATTTATTTCTGCCTACATTGCTACATAAATACCAATGTGGTCATGCTCTACTATTGTTATACAGGTATAACTTCTTTCACATTTATTTGGTATACATTTCCAGTACACAAGTAATTAAGTATTATTTTCATTAAAAATGTATAACAATTGTATTTGATAAAAAAGTAAAAGTGATATAAAAGAATAATACATTTTTTTTAAATCACCAAATTACTCAACATGGGCATGGTTAGCCCTAGGGTAAATATGTCCCTATGTGAAATCACAATAGTTTTAATTATATTATTTTAATTATAAATAATATATGACTCTGTCTAATTGTATGATATAATTATATCTATAATTATATTATTTTTGCCACCCAAAAGAAAGAACCCATAACTTACTTGTTTCCTAATGGAAGACCTGATTGTGTTCATTATTATTTATTTACAGGATTAGAATCATTTGATAAAGTATTAAGTTTCTTCTCGTTAGTACGGAAAGAATTTTCTAATAGTCTTTCATCATTTGAACTAATGAACTCTGTAGCAATAAAAAGTGTGCAAAAAAATATTGGCATTAAGTGTCCAATAAATGACAGCCTGAAATTTTATGTTCTTGTAGAATTATCAGGTGATAATAATTATATCAGTCATTCCATTCAAGAATTTTTAGAAAAAGCCTTAGATGAAGAAATAATTTTAGATGCTACTGTAGCAGACCAACCGTCACTAATTCAAGTAATGAATATCTATAGAGAAAATATAATAATAAACAGATGAACAACAAAGTAAATTATTTTATTTAGAAAATTGAAAATGTTTAGAATTTATGGAAAATAAGAGAAAATATTCCTGAAAGTTTATTAAGATATGGATACGTCTATAAATATGATATAACTTTACCTCATGAGTTATTTTATGAGATTGTGCCTGAAATAAGGAAACGATTAGAAAAACTAGATGTTAAAGCGGTTTGTGGCTATGGACATTTAGGTAATAATTTTGTATTTATTGTTTTAACAATATTACATTTTAATTTTGATGTAATTTGTATTTTATATTGTACCATATTTGTATTTATAGGTGATGGAAATTTACATTTAAATGTGGCTACAATAGAACATAATGCTGAAATAGCCTCAGCCATTGAACCTTATGTATATGAATGGACTAGCAAATACAAAGGAAGTGTAAGTGCTGAACATGGAATTGGATTTTTAAAGAGTAAATATTTGAAATATTCAAAATCCAATTTAGAAATAGATTTAATGAAAAAATTAAAAAATACTATTGATCCAAAAAATATATTAAATCCATACAAGATTTTTCCGCAAGATGATACTAATTGAGTTTCAGTCTTATTAAAAAAAAATTTTTATTGTTTTTAAAGTGGTTTATTATGTTGTCAACCATTTAGTATATAGAGATATCTATTAAATATGAATATTATTTAAACAAATTGTTCATTTCTTTTTTGTGGTATAAACTAATACAGGTATATTGAGGTTTGCGAATTAACAGTCACAAAAGGCCAGTTAACCAACAAATTTTCATTTAAATTGGTATTGGATACTAACTATGAAGTTAAAAGACTGTAAAACTAAGTACTTATATGCATAACAATAAAGTCTTATAGTCATAGACATTGCTAATACGACATACAGGAACCACCTGTATTACCCAGGCTACATTTCTATGTCTATGTAATAGGTGTAACTATGGGAGAAATCTGAGCACGCCCCCCCCCCTCCCCATCAAAAATATTTTTATAATTATTTATTTATCTAACTTTTTAGTTAATATTATATGTTGTAAGAGGGCCGCAAAAAAATAAACACAAAATAGTCCATAAATCAGTATTAACATTTTAGTGTTACTACCCCCCCCTCAATTTCAAATGGCTGGACACGCCTATCTCTATGTATTCTCTTAAAAAAGTATAAAAACTACTTTTCTACATATATAATTCTATTAATTTCATTATTTATAAATTGTATCATTGAACTTTTACATTTTACTTTTTAAATTATTTAAATTTGAATTACCTATTTTTACATAATATATCACATTGTTTTTGCTTTAAGACATTGATAAAACATTTTAGGACAACCTTTAAATGTATGTACAACAAACAAATACATTTTTGCACTTATTTAAATATTTTAAATTTAGCCACCTATTTTTATTATGACTGTAAATAGAATAAATTAATAAATAACATACTTGATCTCCATTAGTTTTGATGTTCAAATTATATGAAGCTGTATGTAAATCAATCAAAATTCAAAATATCTGGCAGTTTGGGATAAATGCTTGATCGGGCGAAATGTAAATTTTTTTTTGAATTAGTGTCGTCAATGTACTAATAGCTCACAATGTAGTATTTTACTTATTTTTCCAAAAGGATCATCTACATTTAGCTTTACGTTTTAAATTATTACTTATCTGTTGTCTATTTAATTTTCGTTTGACCAAATATTGTATCAAAACAAATCTAGAAAAAAAAAACAAGTAGAAAGAGACAAAACGTCAAATGTATTTTAGATATAAATCACAACTATTAGTTTTAAACATATACCTATTAAGATACAAAATTTGGTAAGTTTCTTTCCCTATTTTAATTATTTTTTTACTTAAAATCCACAAATATCAGTTTTTTTACTATAATGTAAAAATATTAATCCTGACATCTGCTGGCAAACAAACCAATTTGAAAAAATAAAGAATATAATTGGCAATACAATATGTTATAGGTAATGCTAAAATTAATTACACTATTGTTCTTGTGTATTTTGTTTATTTTCTTGTACCTACCTCCAATTATAATTTTGTAATTAAAAGTATTTAATAAATACACCTTGAATCTTGATGTAGTTGATAATTTATATAATATGTTTTATGGCGGTAGTTCATGTTATCTACATCTTGGTTGAAGTTGATACAATACCTGGAATAAAATATTATCTGGTTTTTTTATTCCATGTCGCTCTTGATGTGATTAGGGACGCATCATGCGTTATTATTCTTCATCCTGATCCTGGTAGTGTATTTTACATTTGTGAGTAGACGGTATCTTAAATCATAATTCATAGTGAATATGGTCTTACTTAAATGAAAAGTGATTTGTAGTTACTAGTAGTTAGTGAATATTAAGTAAAGCTTCGTGCCGCCGTCCCTGTGTAGTGTGTTTAGTGTTTTTTGATTTGTGTTTTCTTATTAGATTTACGTAAAATATTTATTTCGCGTCGGACTTCGAAGTAGCTACTATGGTAATGACATATTTTAATTCTTAGATTTATTAATATTTTGTATTAAATCGTTAAAAAATATGTCCATTACTGTGGATACTTCTTTTTTGGTACCTCCACCTCCAATAAATTTTTCGATTCCGCCGCCTTCAACCAATACATTCATTCCGACAAACTACAGGTTTCAAGGCCCAATACCTTTACACATCCGTGGTCCGAGTTTGGGTGGTCCACCAAGGCATCAACTTAACAAAAGTGCACCACCAGTTGATGTAGATTTCGATGGCAAACGTTTGAGGAAATCAGGTCTTCGTAAAACTGTGGATTACAATGCATCACTAATTCGGATGCTTCAAAATCGTATTTGGCAAAGAGATTACAGAGATCGACCATTTTTACAACCAGATATATTATATACTCCTCAACTTTTACCTCCACAGTGTTATGTGGATAATTCTGTAAATTCAGTTACTACTGCTTTTGTCAAAACTGTTACTAATAAAGTACGGTGTCCTGTATTTTGTTTAGCATGGACACCCGAAGGTAGACGTTTAATAACTGGTGCGTCTAGTGGAGAATTTACTCTATGGAATGGTCTTACATTCAATTTTGAAACTATTTTACAAGCACATGATTCACCTGTTCGGTCAATGGTATGGTCTCATAATGGTAACTGGATGACAACTGGTGACCATACTGGTTTCATTAAATATTGGCAATCAAATATGAATAACGTTAAGATGTTTCAAGCGCATAATGAAGCTGTTAGAGGTATTAGTTTTAGTCAATCAGACGATAAATTTGCAACTTGTTCAGATGATGGAACCATACGTATTTGGGACTTTTTTACTAACAGAGAAGAAAAAATACTTAGAGGACATGGAGCAGATGTGAAATGTATTGATTGGCATCCGCATAAAGGTCTTTTAATTTCTGGTAGTAAAGATAATCAACAGCCAATTAAACTATGGGACCCAAAAACTGGTCAATCATTAGCCACTTTACACGCTCATAAAAGTACAGTTATGGACGTTAAATGGAATGCCAATGGTAATTGGGTTGTGTCTGCTTCCAGGGATCACTTGTTAAAATTATTTGATATAAGAAATCTTTCCCATGAAGTTCAAACATTCAGAGGTCACAAAAAAGAAGCTAGTACTATTGCCTGGCATCCATATCACGAAAACTTATTTTGTAGTGGTGGTTCTGATGGTGCTATATTATTTTGGAATGTGGGTGTAGATAAATTTGTTGGATCTGTTGATCAAGCTCATGATAGTATTGTTTGGTCATTAGCTTGGCATCCATTAGGTGAGGTTTTGTGTTCTGGTTCAAATGATTACACTTGTAAGTTTTGGACCCGAAACAGACCTGGAGATAAAATGACTGGAAAATATCACTCAGTAAACACAGTTTCTAACATGTTAAAAACAGATAATATGTGCGCTGATGCTCAATCGACTATTCCTGGAATGGGTCTAGAAGACATTGATGAAGAAGATACTAATAAAACGTTAGTTGACAATAATACCATACCACTTTTAGATATTGCCTCTACTGAAGAAACAACCAGAGTTCGACAAATCAAGAAAATCCCTTACTCTAAACCTATTCCTAAGAATTTCCAAAAGTTTTGGAATGAATATAAGACTAATGATGAAATAATCGAAGATGATGCTGAAGAAAATCTTGGCCCTGATAGTGATGTAGTCAATAATGTTGTTGAAAGTTTAATGGATTTGATACCAGGTTCTAGACCAGCAAGTGAATTGAAGCCGGAATCTCTTCTTATTTATGGACAAATGATAAAAGTAGATCAAAATTCACCATTAGCGAATGCAATTAGGGAAGGTCGAGAATCATTAATGCGTCTTCTTCATTCTGGTGCAATTCCAGAAGTACGGCAACATCTATCTTTTGAAAGCAATAAAGATCCAATTTATTCATATGCAGCCAAACACCTTCAAAAAGATCAAGACTTACGCAGAAATCAATTCATTAATAATGTAAATGTCAACTTTCCTATGAATCAAGATGTTGATCTTAGAGTCAATAATAATTTTAATCCAAATTATGGTTCTTCTGCTAATTTTCAAACAGCTTCTAATGATAATTTTAATAGACCAGTTATACATCAACCATCAAACACAACTGGATACAACCAACAACCGAGATCTTATTACAATAAATCACATCCTTACAATAACAACACACAAAATAATAGGCCATCTCGACAATATGGAAACAATCAAAATGGCATGCGAAATGCTCCGCCACCTAATTTAATGGACTCCACCTTTTCAAGGCCATCCACTTACAGACCAAATTCACAAAGACCACCTCAAAATTATAACAATATGTGAATTTTTCTGAGTGGGTACCGAGTTGAGATATAAAACTACTACATGGTAATATTCGATTTATAAAATATTGTAAAATACTTGTTCATGTTTTGCATATAAAATATAAAATCATTTCCTTATTATAGGTAGATAGATACATATAATTATTTTATGTATGTATATATATATATATTTTATTTTAGAATATTAACCAAAAATTAATGTTCCATGTAACATTTTTTTTCTGAATATTGTTGTTCATAAATTATTATTGTTGTATTGTATAAACACCTTCAAAGCATTTACTTTTAAAAAGTTAAAAAAAAAAAAAACAGAAAAATAATAATTATATACTAAAATTGCATATTTTAATCCTATTCCCGTTTTCCAAAAAAAAAATATTGCTACATGTAATAATTCTTAATACAATGGATTTCCCAGTTGATATAGCAATCTATATCTAAATTATTTTTCAGGTGGAGCCCTCTTGAAGTTAATTCTCTCCTCCCCCCACCCCCCTCACGCAAAAAAATACTGCATTTGATAAATGCCTTCTGTCATAGAGTAAATAACTTATATAAATTTGTTATTTAAAATAAACGGTATGATAAAATGTATAACCCGGGTGGCCGGGTTTGACAACTTAATCTACCTTCTACCAAGAATGAAATATTAATTTATTGATACTGTAATTAAAAGTAAATTGGGCTGAAAAAAAAAAATTGCTAGCTGTCACGGGAGGGGAGGGGGTGAGAGAGGACTTGTACTTATGGTATATATTTTTTCAATTTTATTATAAATAACCATATCTTGCACAGGAATTAGTTTGTTAGCTAACTATGTAATATATTTTTGACATAGTCATTTGG